AGTATTTTGTGGTTATTATGGTGTATTTTCATATTATTTCAATTAAAATATTATTTTCTACTGCCTAAGTAAGTGAAGCCTTGTTGCTTATTGCTTTTTAGACTTTTACACAATATGTAGAATAATTTGCTTAAAAATTTCGTTAAGTGAGTGAAATGGTAGTATTGTCATATAAATGTCAAAAGGTAAGATTAGCACAACCCCAATAAGGACAACTCAGTAAAACTCAGTCGTTGGGAAAATGTCGGCAGATCCTAGAGTCAAAGTAAGACCTCAGGCATCGACATTTTTGACCCTAAATCTGTAACACTGTTTTTTTTGCAAAAGACTTAAGCGCCCATTAGTTTTCGAGATAAACTGACTGCTGTCTACACAAATTTGATATGGGCTAAGCAAAATCGACGTCGACGTTGAGTTCCACCGTCAGAGCTTTTAACGACACCCTCTCTGTTAACGGCTAGAAGAGAAACAATAACATCGTTACCTAAACGTGAAAAGGTGACAAGTTCATTTTTTTTTTTTTTTAATTATTCAGGAGGGACGAAAAATCGATGTAGCTTCGCAATATCTGTCATTCTGCATTGAAACAAAGTGGACTTAGGCCCTTTTCAGCTTTTTAAAATGTGTATATTCTACTTTTCAAGTCGAGGTTTAATATTCTAGAGATAATTGAAATATCAAATTAACTATAATGTCGCATATTCCCTTTTTATTTTATCAACAACTTTTGCTTTTGTTTAAAACTTTTAGCAGAAGTGAACTACAAATTCATTTAAGGAATTAAATCGTTTTAATTTTTCTGTGTTCAATTTAAAAACCAGTTGCAACTAGACATGCACAGTTGTGGTCATCTAATTAAGTTAGCGACATATTGACCATTGTACAAACATTCGAAAAAGCGATGCAGGTCTGACGACATTGATTAATAAATAATTCGAATTTGATTTTTAACAGGTGAAACTCTTTTCGAAAGAATAATTAAATAAATTATTACAACTTATTGTAACTTATTATTGCTGAATTATTGAATTGTAACCTGATCTATGAGCCTAAGATTTGATGACATAACAAACCAATAAAAAAGTCTAAGTTCGGGAGGAGCCGAACAATAAATACCCGGCGCAAGTATTAAACATAGTTTTTTTCCACCTTTCCGAAAAATACAATTACATGAACACCTTCCATAAACTTATATAGTTACATGTGGGCGGTATCACGCCTATTATCCAAAATTCCATAATAATGTTACTTACTTTTATGGGATTGTTATTAATATCAATTTTGTTTAAATTAGCGTCCTTAAATTTCCAAATCTCGAAGTTTCAATAATTTTCAGCGTTTTTATTTTATGTGGCAAGCACAGTACCGAGTTTGGTTCAAACGGTTGCCGAGATACACATATGTGGTCATAAGTGAGCGGTGCCCCGCCAATATCCCAAAATTTTATCATAAACATATTTCTTGCTAAAGAATTATTGCAAACGTCAATTTTGAATAAATTAGCTTCAGTATTTAATGATTTATCGAAGATTTCGTACTTCTCTAAATTATTGTTATATGGGATGTGGGCGTGGTTATTGCCCGATTTTAAAATTTTTCAGCCGTTTGGTGTGTTGTACCAACAACCATTCCAAGTGTGGGAGAAATTGGTGGAGCGGTTACCGAAATATATAGGCCCCTATTATGAGTTGCATTCGATCTTCGACCGTGGTCGAAAGTGCTGATCGAACGAATTTTATGGCGCTCATTAAATGAAGAATAGCGCTATTGTGAATTTCGCTCGTTTACGTTGTTCGCCGCTGAGAAGCTTTGTTTACAAATCGAGCAAACTAAATAGTGTGCTTATTATACATATGTAGATACATATATAGATTTGTGCAAATTAAAATGAAATAAAAAAGAAAGTGAGTTTATAAAAAACACGGTAAAAATTAGTACAACGGAGTTCTGGTTCTACGATTCGTCAGAGGATGAGAGCTTAGAAAACTGGCCAGGAGCAGAAAACATTTGAGGGAGTTTAAGTGTAGTGTTTCGAATATATTTTGACATACAATATATTTAAGAAGACAAAAAATTCGATACTCAACGAAAATTTCGACACGCTTGCATAGCTCATAATACGAATTTTACTTTCGATTTTCGATCTTCGATAGCGAGCGAAGGGCCATACACATGTAATCATAAGTTGGCGTAGCTACGGCCATTTTCCAAAAATTTATAATATTCTTATTTTTCGTCTAAAAATCACAATCAGTATCAATTTTGAGTAAATAAGCTCCAGGAGTTACTAAAATATCGCAGTTTTTTATTTCTGAAGTTACCGTTATATGGGCGATNGTTTTTTTTTTATTTTTTTTTTTTATTTTTTTTTTATTTTATTTTTTTTTTTTTTTTTTTTTTTTTTTTTTTTTTNTTACCGTTATATGGGCGATAGGCGTGGTTATTGTCCGATTTTGTCCATTTTTAACCGACTTCCAAAAAAGGAGGAGGTCATCAGTTCGTTGGAATTTTTTTTTTTAATTTTTTTTTTGTTTTTATTTTTTATTTTTTTTTTTTTTTTTTTTTTTTTTTTTTTTTTTTTTTTTTTTTTTTTTTTTTTTTTTTTTTTTTTTTTTTTTTTTTTTTTTTTTTTTNCGATTTCGATAATTCTTTTTGCATTGGAAAGGTAGTGCCTCAGATCAGAGGTGGTTCCATACTAATCTGGTTAAGATCCGATCAGTGGATCATGAGATGTTTATATATATGTATATTTTTTTATATGAGAGTTGAAGTTGGTTTTTTTTTGCTAAAAATTACTTGTCAATACCATCCATCCTACGCTAAAAAGAAGTACACATACCAAGTTCCGTTAAGATATCTCAATTTTTGCTCGAGTTATCGTGTGCACAGCCAGACTGACGGACGGACAGACAGTCACCGCTTAATCGATTTTTTCTTTTCATTCTGATCATTTATGTATATATTTGTCTATATCTATCTCGATTCGTTTTGCTGGTTACAAACAACCGTTATGTGAACAAAGTTATAATACCCTTGTGCACAAGTGCGCTCGGGTATATAAATGCCTTCGTATATTATACATATCGTCGTTTAAAGTACAAAACCGCGTATCAGCAAACCCTCGTATGTGAGGTTACCCATTCTATAGGCGAGAGTAAAACTTGTCTTATTTCAAAACGGTTCTCTCTTTTATCCCTAGTTATATCTTCGAGCTTCTCCTCCGATTTGTGGCGTGCGCCTTGATGTTGTCACACAAAGCGGAGCGACCTACAGTTTTACGCCGACTCCGAACGGCGATTGTATTTTTATGAGAAGCTGGTTTTCGTGGCAGAAATACTCTCGGAGGTTCGCCATTGCCTGCCGAGGGGCGACTGCTGTTAAGAAAAACCTTTTTTCTATATTTTTTGCGATGTTTCTTTGTCCAGGACTTGAACCCAGGCCCTGGGGAGTGGTAGCGCCCACTGCTAGCCACTACACCACAGCGGCTTATATCGTAAGTATCGATATTTTAGTATGAATGGATAAGGGCTTGATGTCAGGTGAGCAAATATCTTTTTTGGCACAAATGTCATTTACGAGGTTTTGCAGAACCACGTAACGCGGTTTTGTACTTTAAACGATGATTTGTATGTACATATATCTATTTAGATCAACAAACATTAAATAAATAAAGGAAAATTAGCCAAAACTGGTCAAAATATCGCCAACTTAATTATTACACAGACAAGGGTACATACATATGAATGTAAAATACATACGAATGGGTGTAGCTAGATCTTTTTTAGACTTGTTGGGAAAGTATATGTATGTACAAAAAGTAATAACATAAACGGTCATAAAGTAGCCAGTTTACAAGAATATTAACGATGCGAAACTTAAAACCTGCAACATAAAAAAATGCTTTTTTTGTGCAACTTAATAATAGAAAGTTCGTGCAAGTGAAATTAACTATGTGTTATTCCGCAAATTTATATTAATTTTTATTTTTATGTGGATATGTGCATACATACATACATACATATGTTCGTATGTAAGTACTTGTGTGCATCTCGCGTAATAACGAAATTTATTTGCTCATGATTTTGCGAGCATTCATATTTATTTATTTATTTATTTATTACGGCTCAAAGCCTAATAGCGCAAAATATCTATACAAATCAAGCATTTCGAGCGATTGAGCTGAGAAGGTAGTTCTTAAATGTGTGGGCACGGAGAATGACTTGTGGGGAACTATAATTATGTTTACATTTATATGTATACATGTGCATACATACGTACATACGTAAGAATTCCATTCGCAAACATTTCTAAGCGCTATAAACATAGCTAGTTTTATACATATTTTTGCGTTTTTATTTCGTTTGTCTGCATATGTTATTTTCTGGCGTTCGCAATCTTAATTCATAAAAAGCGGCTAACTTAAGAATGAAGAGCAATAAAACGGTCTTAAACCTAGTCTATTCTTCTTCTTTATTTTGGTCGATTCCAAAACAGCACGCCAGTTATTTCATATATACATATTGTACATACATATATTTGGAATCTCAGAGTGCCTAATTAAAAATTGATGCGGCATTAATAGAGCATAATTGGATGAGGTTGAGGTTTAATTTTTCGTCTTAAAGGTTGCAGTTAATAAAACACTCGCCCACATGCAAACATGTACTTATATGTATGATAGCCCAAAAAAAAAAACAGAAACACTCCTACGCAATTAAGAGTCACTGAACGGGCTGCTGCTTTGAAATAACAATTTATTGTAATGCAACACAACAAAGTCTGCTATTGAATACACAAATTAAAAAAATCTGGTAGTTTTAAGTGAATTGGTAAGACTAATATACTTTGGACTATAATAAAAGGTAGGTTACAAGAAACCAAGAAATTTCGGTGTTGCATAGGTTATTTGAAATAAGATTGAGCGATATTTTGGGATTGTTTTGAATTGATTGGTATTTTTTTCTTTTGCACTGTACTATGAATGAAATTTTGTAACTTACCTAACGGTGGTGTCGTTACTACCAGATACCACATATTCCCCGGATGGATTGAAGTCTAATGTGCGCACGCTTTTCATGTGGCCATTCAAAGTCGAGCAGATGGTCTGCGCGTTTAAGTCCCAGCGTCTGATAATACCAATATCGTCCGCCGAATAGACGAAGTCATCATTGTAAGCGAAACGTACACAATCAATCGGTCTGTTATGTCCGGTTAGTGACTGAAATTTCGACAATTGTATTGGGGGTTTCAATATTAACACAGTGTTCTGCTTACCATGAACAGTTCTTCCCTACCGATCGCCCATAAATTCACATTACGATCTTGTCCGCCAGTGACTAATACACTNAAATAATTTATTAGCTAAATAAACTTCACTTTTATACAAGAATGAGAATTCCCGAGATTTCAAATATATTTGCTTTCCCAGCTATCTTGCATGTGTCGAATACGTCGCCACTGCCGTCAGCGCTGTTACCGTTTACCAATTCCACAAGTCTCAATTTTTAACTCAAGAATTTTTCACGCACTTGTCGTCGCCGTCGCCGTCACAGCCGTTAATTTCACGCAATTATCTATTTTCGTTTCAATTTTCGCGATAAACGTACATAGATGCTTTGGCAATTGTAAAAATAAAACACAAATCTTTTATTTCTTATTTTGTATAAAATGGAAAAGAAAACAAAATCTTTTTTCTACGTCGCCGTCGACGTTTACATTGACAGTTGACAGCCGGAATCGGTTAGGGACCGAATGCACTACCGGAATCGGTTAGGGACTATCAGAGAACGTATATTTATCAGAGAACGTATATTTATAGAGAAGGTCCAAGAACTGTGAATGCCACATTTTTCGAGCCAACTAAACTGGCGAAGCGCATTTTAAGAGCGACAAATATTTGGAATACTTAACAGCGAAAGCAAAATTCAAAGCAGAAAAGAAGAATGTTAACAGAGCTAAATCTCACGAGAGCGTTTGGAATGTTAATTAAATATGAATATTGATGATTTTTGTGATATTTTTTGCAAATTTTTCAAATAGAAAACCCAAGTAAAGAAAAATAATTATTTTTTCAATGATTTGTACAAGTAACATGAAATTAAATCGGAAATAGTATATAACATTTTCCGATTTTTGTGATATTTTATTAATAATTGCAAATAGAAAAGTCCCATGAGTTTGTGTTTTTTGTGAAAATATTTTTTGATAAAAAATCCTTTTTCCCGGTGATTTCTACAAATACCGTGAAAATAAATCGAAAATGTTATATAGCATTTTTCGATTTTTGTAATATTTTGTTAGATTTTCAATTATAAAACTTTTTTGGTATTAGATTTTTTTGTAAATAGAGTTTTTAAGGGAAAAAATAGTTTCTTCTCGGTGATTTGTACACACAACGTTAAAATAAATCGAAAATATTATATAACATTTTCCAATTTTTGTGTTATTTTCAAGTAAAAAACTGTGGTATTGGATAAAAAAAAACAGTGAAAAGAATTATTTCCATTTGTTTTGGAGATCTCACAAAACTAAGTCGAAAGTCTGTATGAAGTTTTTCCATATTTTTGATATTTATGGAAATAATCCAGTTTTTAAATATTTTCGACTTTGAAGCTTTTTTTAAAAATACAAAAAATCTGAAAACGTTGGATTTTCCCAGCAATTAGTAAAAATCTCGTTAATCTAAGCCGAAACTATTTAAGAAATTTTTCAAAATTTTCAATATTTATGGAAATAATGCAGTTTTCAAATATTTTCTAGTGCAAGAAGTTGCCATTAGATGGGTCGCAGCTTCGCTACTCATGTGCTTATTTGTCCCCCACATTGTCATTTACATATCTAATTTATTAATAACTAAACCTAAATTTATAAAGCACATATTTGTAAACTTCATTTCATTACCTATTTCTGCTACCAAATTTTTCATGCATCCAAAAAGCCAAACAAATGAGAATGTAAGTATGTATGCATTTATAAATGTACATATAAACATACATATACACGATTGTTCTGCTTTCGTCTTCCCCTCGCAGCTTCCATCCACACAAATTATTCAATTTCTGCGAATTGGAATTGGCATTTTTTACAC